AATAAAATTTAAAAAAAAAAAAAAGAACATCTTTGGTTTAAATTGTAATTTACAGGGCTGGGGAGATGGCTCAGTGGAACAAGCACTTCCCTGGCAAGTGCAAGGGTCTGAGTTCGATCCCTGGTTCTGCAAAAAATTAATTAATTAATTAATTAATTGTGATTTACAGATATCATATTTAAAAAAATCTCTTCCAATGTAATGTTTTAAGATCATAGATAGTACTTCTACCATCAAAGTGGTTGAATTTTTTGTTTTTAGTCTGTGGGTCAAACCCACAGGTATCCTGACACCGACCAAGTTAGCGCCTTTTTAGCTCCATTGTTGTTATTATCATCATTATTGTTTAAAATTTTGAAACAGAATCAGTCTCATTAAATTGCCCAAGTGGTACCTGAATTTGTGTGAGGTGGGACAAGGGACCTTGGGCTTTGAGTTCTACTGCCTCGGCCCCCTCTTGCTGAGATAATAGCATGCACTGCCGCAGCTGCTGTAACTCTTAAGTCATATTTAGAAAAGGCTTGTGTATACTGATGGTGTAAGAGGGAATTAGCCTAGATTTCATTCTAGAATTTTTAGAGATTTAAAATTTTTATATAAATATTTTATCTTTTGGGAATTTTTGCTAGTGTAAAAATATGGTATGAACCTAGTCTTGTTTTCTAGATGAATGTTTTAGTTGCTGAGATGTCACTCATGATGTAGTCCTTCCCTTCCTTGATTTTGAGGAACCTCTTCTGTCATTCTCGTCTTTTCATATGGAGTCAGCAGCTCTGGGTGTGAGCATCAGTTCATACACTCCTCTGAGAATGTTCCCCGACTTCCCTTACTTTTCTTTCTTTCAAGATCTTTAGAATCAGCTTACCTATTTCTAGAAAGTAATCCTGTAGACTTTTGGGAAGGGAAATGTTGGAGTCTTTTCACAATAAAGAATCTAAATTTTAGTTTCAATCTTTTCTCTTACAGATGATATTAACCGTGTTCTTGAGCAACAATGAACAGATTCTAACAGAAGTTCCTATAACACCAGAAACAACCTGTCGAGATGTTGTAGAATTTTGCAAGGAACCTGGAGAAGGTGGATGCCATTTAGCAGAAGTGTGGAGAGGAAATGGTGTGTATGAGGGTCTGTACGGTGACTAAGTGCATAGAATTCGCCACATGTCAAGTGACACTGTTATCAGCAGTAATAAGGAATTGAGTAATTACAGTAAAAAGCAGTTGCATCACATGGGGACAGGATTCTGCACAATGGTAGTTGTAAAAAAAAATAATAATAATGACCACCTCACACAAAGACCTTCAGCAATAAGTAAAAAATGGTAATAATAATGATTGGGAAAAAAATTCTGACTTTGAAACATAGGAAAACAAAATGTTCTTTTCTCAAATCTATGATGTTGCAACAGCTATTCCTGAAAGGGACCTATGGCATCTGTATTTTAAAAAGATTTTGCATTTCATTTGCTGAATAATAAAGTGTACATTTGTTGTTTTAAAACTTAAAAAAAAGAAAAAGGCCTTCAGCACCATCAAGGTATATGGCCTTTGCTTGACACATGGAAAAGGATTTGTAAAGATTTTAAATAGGAAACAACATTCTGACATAGTGCTTAGAGGAAGTACAGCCAGTATTAGTGTGGCGTAACAGATCTGAGTGGGACCTTAAGGAAATGACCCACTGGAACATGATGCGCTTGGGGTGATGAGATGGGTCGCCAAGAGTCTTTAGGCCTCTTTTAAACATTTATTGAGATACAGTTTGCTTCCACACAATTCCACGAGTGGAGGATTTTCTCAGTAGAAGTGTAGAACTTACTGTAGAGTAGAGCAGTAAGGCACACCTTGAAGGGGTGCTAAACTGCGTTTCACAGTTTTCTTTCAGACTGAGCCAAGGATTTGGTGGAAGTCTTTCAGCGAGCATAAACTTTTGTCAAAAGTAATAAAAATGATTTGTTCCTCAGAAATCCCAGGTTGTTTCCCTAAGCCTTGGACTTGGTGGTATTCTTCATTTTCTTTAAATTGTGGTAAAAGTCACATAGTAACAAAATTACCACATTAAAGTGTGCTATTCAGTAATTTGTCATGCAGTCTCCACATTGTCTGTACCCCTGTGTCCCTCCTTCCCCAGTCCTAACAGCTCCTGTCCTGCATTGCTCACTGACTGTGTGCCTGTGACCGTCCTGGTAGGGTCATGCACCACGTAGCTCTTCCCACCTAGCGTGTTTTCTGGGTTCTTCTATATTGTAGCATGTATCAGTTCTTCATTCTTTTATGGCTGAGTCATGGTCCGTTGGGTATCATATTTTGTTTATCTAGCTGTAATGGTTTGGTAGATCTGACAGATAGATTTCAAGCTCTTATGTTCAATAAGTGAAGAATTGTAAAATATATGCCCAGTGTAAAAGCAGCTACATTTATTGAAGATCACAAGCAAAAATAGTGCTAGGATGAATGAGAGGAAAAAAAGGCTCAAAAAGGGCAAAGATATTTGTGCTTTGGTCTTTTGTTTTTGTTTTTTTGTCTTTTTGAGATAAGATCTTGCTATGCAGTTTAGGCTGGCCTTGAGCTCACTTTGTAGCCCAGTGTGGTCTCAAACTTGCAAGGGTCCTCCTGCCTCAGCCTCCTAGGTGCTGGGATTACAGGTGCACACCACTGTGCCCAGCCCTAGTCTGGGGTTCTTTAGCTGTGGTCCTAAGGTGCCAGCAGAACTCAGGTGGGTGGAGGCAGGAGGGTCTCAAGTTGGAGGCCAGCTTGGTCCACAAAGTGAATTCAAGGCCAACCTGGACTACATAGTAATACTATCTTAACAAATAAAAAAAAGCACAAAAAAGTGTAGGCCAACCTTACTTTGAATGTAATTGGAAAAATCCTAAATAAAATACCAGCAAATCCATTTTAGCAGTGTATTGAACAAATCAGGTCTGTTTCTAGAACTCACAGGATTCCAAGTCAAATCTGTTAATAACCTGCTTTATAGCAAAAAGCATCATCACTTCTTTCCTTCCTCCCTCCCTTTCTCCATCCTTCTCTCTTCTCTCTTTTTTTAAATTTATTGCCTGGTTTGATGCATGTAAATTGCCTGTAGTGAGGACCTTTATTGCTAGTACTTAGAACCCTTAGGGAATGACTGCCTTCCGGGGATAGCTGACTTTTGGGCTCTGAGTCTGTGGCAAGATCCTACCTCTTCTCCCCGCCCCCGCCCCCCCCAACCAGGGATTGAACTCAGGCCCTTGTGCTTGCCAGGGAAGCACTTATTCCACCGAGCCATCTCCCAGCCCCTTATTTTCTATTTTATTTTATTTTTGTCTTTTTGAGATAGGGTCTCACTATGCAGCTGAGACTGACCTTGAGCTAACTTTGTAGCCTTGCTTGGTCTCAAACTCAAAGTGATCCTCCTGCCTCAGCCTCCTGAGTGCTAGGATTATAAGTGTGCACCACCCTGTCTGGCTCTCTTCAATTTATTGGGGTTGTGCTTGGTGTAGTGCCTGGTTCTTTGGCACTGGTATGTAGTATTTTTTGTGCCCCTTAGGTAATCTCAGTCTTAGTATACCAAGCAGAACAAACTGGTTAGAACAATTATGTCACCTTGGCTAAAGCAGTCTGATGAAACACATAGCATCAAGCATAGCATAGAAAATGACACACTGAGGTAAGCATTAATTTGCCATCTTTAACTGTATGAACTAGATTTGTAGTTATGTAACAAAATCTTAAATGAACCAGAAAATTATAGGTAGTAAGTAAGCCCTCAACATGGCAGTTTTACCCTCAAGGGAGAAATTTTTCAAGGGACTGGGGGAAAGAACAGAGAAATAAAAGAAGAGGAAGAGATTAGGAGCAAGACTGGAAGACAAGGAGGATCACATCAACTTTGGGAAATGTGAAGACAGGAGAAAAGAAAAAGAAATAAAAATGCGAACAAAACAGTAACACAAGAAAACTAGAAACCATGTTTACACTCATATAAAAACAAGAAAACAGCCAGGTGTGGTAGTGTACCCCTGTAATCCAGCACTCAGGAGGCGAGGCAGGAGGATTGTTGCAAGTCAGAGATGAGCCTGGGCTATAAACTGAGCTCAAGACCAGCCTGAGTTGCATAGAGACCCTGTTTCAAAAAAGACAAGAGAAAAGAAAACAAGTCCACTTCAAGGTGTGTCCCTGCTATCATTCATAGACAGTTTAGGCAGACAAACTCCAGGTCCATGGTGATTAATCCCAGCAAGCCAGCTGTGGCTTTGCGGCTGGGCAGTGGCTGATCCCAGCGAGCTTGCACCTTTATTTCCACTGCAGTTCAGGCTGCTTTCTGGCCGTGAGGTTGGCCTAGACCCATTCAGCCTGCATTAGTCCGCAAGGCTCCTGTCGGCTTGAACTCAGCTGGGAGCTGCTCAGTGGAGCCACAGCCGCCCTGAGTTCCGAGCTCGTTCAGTTGCTCTCCAGGATGGCTTCTGGCCTGTTGCCCTCCCCTGGGAACATCTGAGCCTGCAGCCTGCTATATCCACTGCTCCATTCCACCGGTCCGCTTCCCGTGGAGGCCTCTGAGGTTGCAGTAGTCACTGTGGGTCTGCAGGTTTGAGCTGTTTCTTCCATGCAGCGAGCCTGGGCTCAGGGAGAGGTGCCGCCTGCCTCCTCCTTCACCTGTGTTACTGTCTCTCTCCTCGCTCTCTGTGGGCATCAGCTTTCACTCCAGATCCTTTTGGGTCATGGGGACACATCTCCCTCCTTGTTCTCCCCTCACATTGCTATATTCCAGTGTGGACACCAAGCCTAGGAAGGCTGTTTCTCTGCTTTTTCATTTTTTTCTTTTCATGTTTGCTAGAGGCTGAGTTCGTTGCCTTTGATCTCGCACTGTTACTTGAGCAGGTGCCCAGCTGGCGGCTGGCAGTGTGCCTGACAAGTGAGCCTGTCAGAGTCAGTGTGTCAGTTGTCATCCTCAGAGAATGCTTGGAACATGGACGAGTCCTGTGTGCATAGGCAAAAGATGTGCTGGGCCTGGTACCTGGTTTTCTATCACTGTGGCATGAGTGGATATTTTTTAGAGCAACACGGCCATGTGGCTGGCTGTGTGAGAGACCAGGAGTAGGCCGGCCGGCTCTTCCCGCGGGGTCAGTTGACCCCGTGGCCCAGATCCTCTCAGCTCTGCACTGTGGGCTTCTGCCTCAGGTTGCCGCTACCCCCCATTTGTGGCAGCCACCCGTCTCCAGAGATTGTTACATGTCCCCAGGAGAGCTGAGTCCTGCCCCGGAGAGAACCCCTGGCCTGCAGAGTGCTGCAGAGAGAGGCATGGTGGTCACCGGGCTTGGGGGCAGGCGCTGGAGCCTGGGTGATCGCTACCTAGCGGGAGCCCAGGGGCGGTCACAGAGGCTTCTGTCAGCTGGGGGCTTGCTATGGGCTTCGCCCTGCTCTGGCTTGCAGTGTGCGCCTCCTCCCTGCCCTGGGAGCACTGTCTGCAGCCTCAGTCTGGGCCAGTCCACAGGAGGGCAGCGATTGCACCGGAAGGACCCTGGGGCAAGAGCGGGGGATGCTGGCTTAAATCAGTCTGTCCTTCTGATGTCCTCACCCTTCTAACAATGTGGCTTTCCAGGTGAGCAGTGGGCCTGCTACCAGGCTCCGCAAATGTGACGTTTCCTCATGGTGACTTCGGCAGCTGTGCAGTGGGTAGCACTGTGGGCATCCTGTCTCGGCTTCCTGACCTGGGTCCAGGCACTGCAACTGGCATGACAGCAGAGCAGATCCCTAGCCGGCCCTGTCGCCACAGCCTGGCCATGATGGGTGCTGGCTGTCACCTGGCTCTCAGTCTAGAGGCCTGGCAGCTGCCGCCTCCCGCCCGGTATGCCTACTAGGTAGAGGTCACCCAGGCGCCAGTGCCTGCCCCCAGCCCCTGAGCCTGGCCCAGCCCTGGCCAACACAGGCGATCGTGGGTGACGCTGAGGTTGCCATCCGCCTCCCACGGTGACCTGCAGCCCTCCTTCTGCCAGGCTGGGTGTCTGCTCCCTAGGCAGCTGCAGCAAGGACGCCTTCTGGGCGCTCCCCAGCCTCTGCAGGAACTCAGCCAGGCTGGGTGCTTTCTTGGACAGTGTCTGCGACTACTGAACTAGTACTTGAGTTTCATCA